TGATGATCTATGCTTTTCCATTTTCAATATTCCCTTTCCAGGGGTAGCCTGAGTGGTGGAGGCACAGGGAGTCCACTGCAGGGGAAAGCATTGCATGCCTGCACTCGGCCACTTGTTCGCTAGAGCATATTTTACCTAGTAGCTGGTATATACCAGGCACTGGCAATAAACCAGATACGAGGGATTGTCCCTCACAGGACTTTGTCGAGTTTCAGAAAAACTCACCAATTACAATAGAAAGTTGTTAGTGCTCCAGTGGAGGATGCATGAAGGGGTATGAGGCCCTGGGAAGCAGCTAGGGAGCTCTGGCTGAGGCTTTTCAAAGAAAATAACATGAGAGCTGGGTTTTGAAGGGCGAGTAGGAGCTTGCTAGGTAGAGAGGAAGGAAAGGAGGGTCTGTTGGAGAGTACTGTGCAAGGCCACAGAGCTTTGTAGAAGAGAGTGGTGTGGTTGGGAAATAGGAAAGTTGATTGTGCAGAGAGTACTAGGTGTGCCAGTTAATCATAGTGGGTTTTGTAATAATAATAATAATAAAAAAAAACCATGATAATTTCAAGAGAAACATCAAAAGTGCTTTATTCAAAGTAATGTCCACCGCTAGCTACACATTTCTCCATCTTTCAGGTAATTTGTGGATACCGTCCCAATAGAACTTTTCTTGTTTTGAGGCAAACCATTCAAAGACCCAATTTTCCACTTCTTCGTATGTTTTAAAATGCTACTCAGAAAGTGCATGTTCCATCAATCTGAACAAGTGGTAATCTGAAGGAGCAAGGTCTGGTGAATATAGCGGGTGGGTTACTACTTCCCAGACAAGATCTTTTAACGTGTCTTTAACTAGTTTTGAAGTGTGTGATGGTGCATTATCATGAAGCAAAATTACTTTGCCATGTCTTCTGGAACATTTTGGTCATTTCATGATCAAAGTGTGGTTCAGATTGGTTATTTGTTGTTGATAGTGATCAGTATTAATGGTTTCACCTGGTTTTAGAAGCTCATAATACACCACATCTTCCTGATAGCACCATACTCAGAGCATTGTCTTCTTTCCGAAGTGATTTGGCCTTGCAGTTGATGTTGATGGTTGACTTGGATCAACCCATGATATTGTGCGTTTGGGATTCTCAAAATAAATCCACTTTTCATCGCCAGTCACAATTCAATGTAAAAAAGGACTTTTTTTCTCATGCCATTGAAGCAACATTTTACTGATGACTTTTTGGTTTTCCACTTGTCTTTCGTTCAGTTGAAGTGGCACCCATTTTCCTTCCTTTAAAATCTTTTCCATTGCTTGTAAATAATTGGAAATTGTTTGCTGAGCAATGTTTAATATTTCTGCAAGTTATTTTTGAGTTTGACATGCATCTTCATCCAGAAATGCTTGTAATTGTTGGTCTTCAAACTTTTTCAGTTGACCTGATGTTCTTTGTCTTTCACATCGAAATCATCACTTTTAAAACATTTAAACCAGCGTTCACAAGTATCTTGAGATGGAGCAAGTTCACCATAAGCTTCCCAAAGTATTCAGCAGCACTTTAATTCAAAATAATAAATTATAACTTCCCACAAATGCTCTTTTTTTTTTTTTTTGGCACAAAATCTAACATTTTTAAGGGTAAAAATATCTACAATGTTAACACCTTCAGCAAATTGGGTATATGAAGTTTTGAAGCTTGTTGTAAATACAAAAAAATAGCATACATATCAAATCGAATATATATCAACATATGTGTAACTCCATCTATTGAAAAATATCCACATTACTAACCAGTACACCTATAGTATGTGTTTTTGGTAAGGGTGCTAAGAGGTAGAGGAAGATGGAAAAGGGAGAGACGTGAGAAGGGAGACTGGAGTCATATCTTGGATACCCCTGATCTGAGCCTCATGAATTTTGAGTTATGCCTGGGGCAGTGGTGGTGGTGGGGGCATACAGGGAATAATATATATATATTAAAATGAGAGGCCTGGTGTATGAAATTTGTGCATGGGTAGGGTCCCTAGGCCTGGCTGCTGATCAGGGCTAATTGGTACCTTCTGGCTGGCCGGGGCCTCCCTTCCCAGCTGTGGCTGCTGGCCAGGGTTTTCCTTTGTTTTGAGTCTCTTCCTGGTGGTCAATGCATATCATAGTGAGCGATGGAACTCCTGATGGTCTCCCAGTTGAACTCCCAAGGGGACACTTTGCCTATTAGGCATATATATACACACACACACACACACACACACACACACACACACATATATATATATATATATATATATATATATACACACACATACATACATACATACTATGAGTTCATACAGATAGAGTGGGCAGCAGGGCACTGTGATTTCAGGTGGTTCTCTCTCATTATACATACATATATATTTGTATATAATAGCTACTTTTATAAAGGGAGAGCAAGAAAAAAGGTCATTGGTGAGTTTTTGTTTTTAACAATAGTCAGTTACACCGTTCAGAAAGTCCTGCTCCTTCTCTAAATAACAGTAAATATAAAGGTATGGGTTAACTGTGATAAAGGGAGCATGCCTTTATAATTTTAATTCTGCTGGGTGCATTTGCCTCACCTAGCTGGCCTCTTCAGTGCCCTCTGGGTCCCATCCTGACTCAAAATAAAACACCTGTCCTCACCGTGTCCCACACAGCCTTACAGAATCTGCCTCCCTCCCCGCCCTCCCCGCCCCCAACTCTCTCACCTAATGTTCTCCATCCCTCTCTCCTCCTGGCTGATGCTGGCATCCTTGTTATTCCTCACCCATCTCAAGGACACTTGTGCCCCAGAGCCTTTGCACTTGCTGTGCTCTCTCCCTAAAACAGTTTGCTCCCAGATATTTACGTAGCTCACTCCCTCCTATCCTTCCAGTCTTGACTCAAATCCCCTATCTCAGTGAGTCTTCTCTCACACACCTATTTTATTTTATTTTATTTATTTTAAATATATTTTTTATTGATTTTTTTACAGAGAGGAAGGGAGAGAAATAGAGAGCTAGAAACACCCAGGAGAGAGAAACATCAACCAGCTGCCTCCTGCATACCTGCCACCAGGGATGTGCCCACAACCAATGTACATGCCCCTGACTGGAATCGAACCTGGGACCCTTCAGTCCGCAGACCGACGCTCTATCCACTAAGCCAAACTGGTTTTGGCTCACACATCTATTTTAAATTGCTGTGTCTACTGCCTTTCCCACTCCCAGCACTCTCTACCCTCCTCCCCCATTCTCTTGTCCTTCACGGCATGTACCACCTCCAACATATTACATGCATTGCTTATTTATTTTGGAAGTTGCTTAAAAAGCTGACTGTCACCTCACTTGAATGTAAGCTTCCCGAGGGAAGTGATTTTATGTACGTGTTTACTGTGACAGCCCAGGGCTTTGAAGGGTACTTGGCACATATTAGGCACCGAGTATATATATCTTTTTAAAATAAGTGAAAGTGGGAGGCAGGTGGGAAATAGCTTGAGGCAGGCAAGATGAGGGACAGAAACACTAGTTGGACAACTGTTGCAAGCCAGAGACAAAGGGCTTGAGCCCAACTTTAATGATGTACCGTGCACTTCTTCTGTCCCAATCTTCAGGTGATGTTGAAATCTGTCACTGTGAAATTTCTTCCTACTTTGTCTCGATGCTCTAGGCAGATCAAAAGCCCCAGGAGAGAGGGAGCTTGGCATGTTCATCTCCATTTTCCCGCAGTGCCTGGCATTTATATGATATTAAGTGTGAGGCGCTCAACAAATGTTCAGTGCTTCATTAATGATGTTATTACTGAGTTGTATTTGACTTAGTGAATTCCAGGGTGAATTATATCCAGTAAAGATCTTGGTATCTAATCTACATTCTCATGCTGTTATACTGGAGTTAATTTTGTTCCATTAAAAAAACAAAACAGCGTACATGCTGATGATAGAAAATTGAGAAATTAGGGAAAAGTTGAAAAAAAAAAAAAAAGCCTTAGTTCCACCACCCATAAAGAACCATCAGCATTTTAATCTTTTCTTTATATATTTTTTTCCGACATAGTTTTTAAGAAAACATAATTATAACAATTATGTGTATACAGTCTTGCATACCGCTTTCCCTACTTTATTAGTGCACACATTTTTTCTTTGTTCTAAACTTTTGGAAAGCATTATTTTTTAAATAAGTGCATACTATATAACCAAGTAGTTGTACCACAGCTTATTTAACTAACATCGGATAATTATACCATTTCCAGTTTCCTCTTATTGCAAAGATGATGTGCTACTCTGCAAACTTATTGCTTATTATTTGTCTGGTTATCTGCCCCTGAGACTTCTGTGCTTGTCTTATTATCTGTTAAATCACATGTGTCAAACACAAGGCCTGCGGGCCAAATCCGTCCCGCCAGGCCTTGCAATGTGGCCCGCACCGCGCTGTCATCACTGCACTCCACTGCGTTTCCATCACAATGACAGTTTATGACTGTTCAGTAAACCATTCGGCCCGCGATTTAGGCTGGATTTTAGATTTTGGCCCCTTCTCTGATTGAGTTCGACACCCCTATGTTAAATGAACATAATCCTATATAATAAAAGGCTAACGTGCAAATTGACCAAACGGCAGAACGACTGGTTGCTATAATGCACAGACCACAGACGCTGAATGCAGGAGAAGCTCCGCTCAGCCAGAAGCTGGGCTCATGGCTGGCGAGTGCAGCAGTAGAGGCAGGAGCCCTTCCTGCCTCTGTGGCAGCACAGAGGATGTCCAATTGCAGGCCTAAGCCGGCAGTCGGACATTTCCTGAGGGCTCCTGGATGGTGAGAGGGCACACGCTGGGCTGAGGGATCCTCCCTTCCCCCTGAGTGCATGGGTTTTGTGCACTAGGCTTCTCGTGAGGAATAAAAGGATTAAAGTAGGTGAATGCAAGACACAGTGATGAGCACATAGGTGTTCAGTAAACATCAGGTGTCTTGGAATGGAGACCTTTGGAAATTGTGGAGGGTTGATAGCCACTGCGCTGTTCCCCGGCTGCAGGCTGCACCTGATGCAGGTGGACTCGGTCCAGCGCTGGATGGAGGACCTGAAGCTCATGACCGAGTGCGAGTGCATGTGTGTCCTGCAGGCGAAGCCCATCAGCCTGGAGGAGGATGCACAAGGTGACCTCATCCTGGCAGGCGGCCCGGGCCCTGGAGACCCCCTGCAGCTGCTGCTCAAGAGGGGCTGGGTCATCAGCACCGAGCTGCGCAGGATTGGCCAGAAGCTGGCCCAGGACCGCTGGGCGCGTGTCCACAGCATGAGTGTGCGTCTGACCTGCCACGCCCGCTCCATGGTCAGCGAGTACAGTGCTGTCAGCAGGAGCTCCTCGCAGGAGATGGGCCAGGTCAGTGGCTCTGGGTTGGGTGTGGGAGGGCATGCTTTCTAGAAGAATGGGTCTAAATGCTGCGGCATCTGAACCCTCCCTGCCCCAGGGACCTCCTTCCTTTTCCAGGAAAGCAGGGAGGACAGTAAGAACATTTATGGAGTGTAAACTCTGTGCTAGGAAGTGTTCTAGGCCTTTTTACACACATCTCCTTTTACATGCACAACCTCTGAAGCTGATATAGCCAATGATGAGAGGCTGCCCAATGATTAAGTATACCACTTTAACGCCAGAATGCCTGGTTTCAAATGTCAGCTCTGCTGTGTGACATTGGCAAGTTACTTAACTTCTCTGTGCCCTAGTTCTGTCATCCTAATGAGTATAATAACAGTACTTGTCTCCTAGAACTGTTGTGAGGACTGATTTATTACATGTAAAACATTAATATTTTATATGTAAAACAGTTGATTAAAAATATTAGCTGGCATGTAGTGTTGTCCTCACTTTAGAGATGAAAAAACAGAAACTCAGAGAACATAACTAACTTGTCCAAAGTGATGCACTAAATGGTGTAATCAGGATTCAACCTAAGCCTTCCTAATTCCAAAGCCCATGACTTCTTCTTCTCCAAGATCAAGGGGAGCCAGTGGAACCTCTCCCCTGTTGCTTCTCTTTCCACTGGCATTTACTTTCTGCCTTAGTGCTACACCTTCTCCTGGCCTCACTCTGCAGGCAGTAAACTCCTATTCATGCTTGGAAGCCCAGCTCGAATGCTGTTTCCTCTCTGAAGCGTCCCAGATTGCCTGGCATAGCTAGTTGCTCAGTATTCTTTTCTTAGCGCTCCCCACACAGCTGGTGATGACCTCTTTTGTCATATCACACTGTACTATAATTTATGTGCCTGTGTCCCAAATCGGATGGCTCCATTCTTCACCTTTATGCCCCACAGGGCCCAGTGCAGCGGTTGGTCCTTAGTCAATGTTGATTGAATCGAACAACATTGACCTATTTCTCTACAGGTTGAGAAGCTGCTCATGGAGAAGTGCTCGGAGCTCTCGGCAGTCACAGAGAGGTAAACCTGGGTGCTGGGTCAATGTCGACAGGGTGTGCGCTGTCCTCAGGGGGTGGGAGGGGCTGGCATCTTCTTCCAGAAGGAGAGCAGGAGTCGGCAGGAGGGTGGGGGAAGGGGGCGGGGGTTGGTGATGGTCTGGGAATTTCCTTCTGCTGATTTTTATCGGCAGCACTGGAAGACTCCCTTGGGGTTTTCTTTCCCATTTTCAGGCCCTGGGTAGAATGTAAACCACAGAGGAGAGGCCTGGGCATGGGAAGAAAGGATTCTTGCTGGTTGGTTTTAAGGAATCGGTTTCCCACAGCCAGATGTGGGCCTGGGAAGGCCCCCTGACCCCCGGGGTCAAGGCATGGTGAAAGCAGACACTCACACCCTTACATTCACACAGACGCCATAGACACGGGTTTCACACTCACTTGCTCATACGCAGACACATAAACACACACTCCTGCAATCTCAGAAATACACTCATACCCTCTTCTCTGTATCTCACACACATACACTTCCATCATTTATACTCAGACACCACCCCCCCCCCCCCCCACACTCTACCTCACATGTACACACACCCGGTTATGTGTTGGCATTCTCCCTCACCCCTTCTGGCCCCCATGCTTTGGAAGAAAAACCTGCAACTGGGGATACCCCGGGCCCCCATGAGGCCCTGGGCCTCCCAGTGTGGAACATTCTCAGGACATAGGGATACATACCCCTGTCTGGGGTGAAAATCCTCCAGCTTCCTTTCTGCACATTGTAGGCAGTAGGTCCTTAAAGGGCATTGCCACACACCTGCAGTGAGCACCAGCCAAGCTCCCATTCCCCCTACCCCTGACCCTGGCTGTGGCGATGGCAGATTCTCCCAGGTAGGATTTGGCGGCTTTCTTCCTGGTGCCGTGGACTGTTATCTCCCATCTCAGGCCAGCACTTATCTGATCTGAGCACTAGGATGCCAGGAGATGGGCTGTCTATGGAATGTTCCTGCTTAGACTCCCAGGAGTTGCTGTGTCCTCCCCAGGCCACTGGCGCCCCAGCAGGCCTGCAGCAGGCCCACATCTGGCCCCTGCAGCACTGTGGATTGACTGCCTGCCCGTGGCTGTGGCCCACCCATGTTGTATTTTCCCCAGGTGCCTCCAGGTTGAGAATGAGCACGTCCTGAAGTCAATGAAGGCCTGCGTGAGCGAGACCCTGAGCACGCTGGGCCAGCATTTTGGCCAGCTGCTGGAGTTGGCCCTGACCCGGGAGGTGCAGGTCAGTGCAGGCGGGGCCGCAGGGGGAGGGGTGGGTGAAGGAACTGGGCCAGGCTGGGGGAAGAAGCTCCGAGTCCCCTTTCTGGGAGGGCATCCTCCTTAGACCACCCACACACACGAGAGACAGGGCTGTCAGGGCTGAGCAGCCTTCTCAAGCATTTAGCTCAACCCTGCGCTCCCCAAAGGTAAACACTGCAGCACAGAGAGAGAAGACACTTACCCGAGGTCACACAGCATGGCAGTGGCAGGACCTGACGTGGTTCAATGGCACTCTCAGGATTGCTCCCACTATCCTATATCTTCCCCGCTGTTACTGTTCACAGTGCGCACACTGGATTTTTATTTTATTTTAAAAAAATTATTTTATTGATATTTTACAGAGAGGAAGGGAGATAGAGAGTTAGAAACATCAGATGAGAGAGTAATATCGATCAGCTGCCTCCTGCACACTCCCCACTGGGGATGTGCCCACAACCAAAGTACATATCCTTGACCGGAATGGAACCTGGGACCCTTCAGTCTGCAGGCCAACGCTCTATCCACTGAACCAAACCGGTTAGGGCCGCTCTGGATTTTTATCGTCCTGAAAGTCTTAAGGCACCGATAGAAAACAAGCTGATTCTGCACGTCCTGGCTATAGAGAAGAATCTAGAAAGGTCATATAGTCCAGTCCGGCCTCCAGGCAGACTCAAGCTTGGTTCCAGAAAGGGGGAGGGTTTCTGGAGCCAATAGGTCTATCGCCAACCTGTGGTTCATTCACCAAGAGACCCTGGCACATGAGCCTCTTCAGCCTAGGCATTTTCCTCACCTACAACGTGCCACCCTGCGCTCGCTTCGGCGACCCATACACTGAAACAGGAGCCATACAGAGACGACTAGCACGGCCCTATGCAAGGATGGCATGTGGATTCACTAAGCGTTCCGTATTTAACAAACAAATAAATCAAGGGCAGCCCTTCCCCTGGAGGAAAGTGAGAGAACTAAGCAAACAACATATGGAAACTGCTTGGCACATAGCACGGGTTAAGTACATGTTATTTCTCTCCCTTTGCCTTTTCCTATTTTACAAGCCTTCCATAAGGTTTTCATTCCGAAAGGTATTTACATGTTATTTATAGACACAGAAAGACTGTGTTGCATATTTGCCATTCTTTTCCCACCGCCAAATGAAAGCCTTCCACAAATAACACATCCCTCTCCATGTCGGCTTTCCTCCAAGCTCAGTCCCTCTGCCGAGGCGGGACTTCGCTTTGTCTCTTTCCTGGGACTGGCTCGTTTTGCACAGTCACAAGCCCTGCTGGCCTCACCCATCCTCATCCTCCCGACCCAGAAAGACCAAGGCCGCTCATACTGCCTTGAGGGTCTGGGGCAAGGGGGAGCAAGGGCCAGGCTGGGGTGCTGGGGCCGGCATTTAGAGATGATGAGCAAACGCTGACAGTCACATGGAGGGGCAGGCGGAGGTTCCAGCTGGGGTCAGTGTCCCAAACGGAACCAGGAAGTCCCAGAGGGACCCAGGGGAACAGGAGGGCCGAATGGGGGCGTGATGAGGGAGGATCTTGAAGTTAGTGGTGAGGAAGAGGGGGGCCTGGAGGAATGTTTGAGCCGGGGCTCAGGGGCCGCTGATGCTGTTTATGCTGCTTTTGTGTTCTCTTGCCTCAAAGTACCAGGCTCAATGAAAAGGGCCGAAATGGAAGAGTAATGTCGGATTGTAAACAGAAGGCAGCTGGGTTTGGAAGCAGCCATCAGCTCTTTTACCCGGGGGCAAAGGGGAGGGTGTCTTTTTGATGTTCTAGCTCACAGAATCCTGGGAAAAGCTCCCTGGGTTGCAAAAGCCTACTTGGGCCCTTTGGACTTTGTATCTAATTTCTTCTAAAAGGTCTTCATACATACATAGTATTTCATAGACAGGGATTTTGGTGTGTTTTGTTCATGGATATCTATCTAGTGACTAGAACAGTGCCTGGCATACAGAAAGCAGTCAATAAAGATTTACTGCCCAGCCGGCATACTTAGTGTTTGAGTATTGACCTATGAACCAGGAGGTCATGGTTCGACTCCAGGTCAGGGCACATGCCTGGGTTTTTGGCTCCATTCCCAGTGGGGGGCATGCAGGAAGCAGCTGATCAATGATTCTCTCTCATCATTGATGTTTCTATCTCTCTGTCCCTCTCCCTTCCTCTCTGAAATAATATATATATACATATATATGTATATTTTAAAAATATTTACTAATAAACAAATGGTAAGCAGTATATTCCAAACTTACATAGTCACAGATCTTTTTTTATTTTTATTTAAAAAATATATTTTATTGATTTTTTACAGAGAGAAAGGGAGAGGGATAGAGAGCTAGAAACATCGATGAGAGAGAAACATCGACCAGCTGTCTCTTGCACACCCTTTACTGGGGATGTGCCCGCAACCAAGGTACATACCCTTGACCGGAATCGAACATGGGATTTTTCAGTCCGCAGACCGATGCTCTATCCACTAAGCCAAACCAGTTTCGGCTCTTTTTTTATTCTTAAAAAAATCTATTCACTTATACTGGGATGCTGGTGCTTTAAAAAATACAATTTGGAAAACACTTTATTTTTAATTATTTATTTATTTTTATTAGTGAGCCACACAGACTCTTAAACAGGGGAACAATGCTCTTCCCACTTCCCCACCCCACAGTGTTTACAGAAAGGGAAGTTATGATCTAGTACTACTCTGCACTGGCCTGGTTGCTCCTGGAATGTTACCTGACCCCAGATGTGTCACTGGCATTGATTGTGCTCAGAGGTTCCTGGAAGGATAGGGTCAGTCTGATGACTAACGTACATGGAGAATAGGTGGAGGAGCAGGGGATGTTTACTCTAATGATGGGTACTCTGCTACCTCCAAAGTTCTGTGCTTTGAAAGGCAAGAAGTACCTCAAGCCAGTGGAGTAAATCTACAAGACCATCTATATGAAAAGTTTATAAAGCAACTAGAGGCCTGGTACACAAAAATTTGTGCACTCGTGGGGGCGGGTGGTGGCTTTCCTTAGCTCAGCCTGTGCTCTCTTGCAGTCTGAGACCCCTTGGAGGATGTCCCCCTGCCAGCTTAGGCCCCAAATCCCCAATCAGACATCCTTCTGGCAGCCTGAGAGCCCTCAGGGGATATCTAACTGATGTCTTAGGCCTGCTCCCTCTGGGAGCAGGTCTAAGCTATCAGTCGGACATCCTTAGCGCTGTGGCGGAGGTGGGAGAGGCTCCTGCCACTGCTGTTGCACTCACAGCCATCAGCCTTGCTTGTGGCTGAGTAGAGCTCCCTCTATGGGAGCACACTGATCACCATTGAGCGTCTGCCCCCTGGTGGTCAGTGTGCATCATAGTGACCAGTCATTCTGCTGTTAGGGTCAATTTGCATATTACCCTTTTATTATATAGAATGGGGCTGCTTATTATATGGAAAGGGGCCACCTTAGGAACTCCCCACCATTGAGACGGGCAAGGATGCCTGGGAGGACATCAGCAGAGGAAGGAGATTAGTCTGAGTGACTTGCAAGGGTTTTTCCAATCTTGAGAGTATGCGATTCTATGAATGTGGGTACTGTAGGGTTGTCTGAGCATGGAATTTGGAGGCATGTCAGGCTTCAAATCCTGGCCATACTACTTACTGGATATGCAAACTTGGGCAAGTTACTTAATTTCTCTGATCCTCAGTTTCCTCACCTCTACAGTGAGGCTTAAATGAAATAGCACGTGAATATTGGGTGGCATTCTTCTCAATGTGTCAACTGATGTACTCACTAGAAACCAATAGCAAGCTTTGTTAAAAAACAGCAACTCCTAATCTCCTAATTAATTATTAAAATAATTTAACTACTTAGTGGTCATGGAAACATTTAAGTCTTAAATTTTGGGAGTCACGAGTGGGAAATTAATGAGCATTGATGCTTAGTCTGTCTGGGAATAAAGGGTAAGCCATGCGGGAGGTAAGGGGGAAAGACATGACTTACAAAAAACTATCGATTTGAAGATGACTTCTAGGGCCCTCTCCATTGAACCGCTGGCTCATCTATACTGGATAGATGTTATATTTACTCATCCTTTCATTCCATTAATCTCTTTTTCTTTTAGTTTAAACTAGCACATTGATGCTAATAAAACTGACTACGAATGCATTTTTAATATATATTATATATATATATATATATATATATATATATATATATAATATATATTATTATATATATTATTGATTTCAGAGAGGAAGGGAGAGGGAGAGAGAGATAAAAACATCAATGATTAGAGAGAATCATTGATCAGCTGTCTCCTGCATGCCCCACATTGGGGATCGAGCCCACTACCTGGGCATGTGCCCTGACCAGGAACTGAACTGGTGATTTCTTGATTCCTGGATTGACACTCAACTGCTGAGCCACGCCAGCAAGGCAAGGGGAATGTATTTTGGCTCTGTGGCTAAGTGAGCTTGTTCAAACCTTATCTCACAAATTTCCCCTTCGTGGCCCAAGCAGAGCTGGACAACTTTGGGCCCTATCCTGTAACAAAGGTCAAACCAGAGGGACACTTTCTAAGTGAAGAGGGGTGGGCACCAAGCAGAACATATTCAGTTCCTTCTTCCAAACTCACTCAACTCATCCCTAACCTCTCAGCATGGTGACAGGAAGAGGTAGGGAGTGAAACCGACAGATGGTGATGCTGAAATCCCATCAGGGGAACAGGAGAGGTGGGAACCAAGAATTGCTCCTTAGTACTACCTCACCGTTTTTGTGCTGTTACCTCATTTACTTTATCCATTAGGCTATGTGAGGCCGGAGTGTGGCTGTGCCTCTTGGAGAAGGAGGTCAGCTGCCGCGCAACCGTCCTTTTCCTCCTGTATGAGGCCATTTCACCAAATAACAATGCCTACTCCTTTGCCGACTCTTTGGAATCACAGTAGGCAATTTTGACTAACAGCAGGCTCAGAAATGACTAACAATATTACCTTCATTAAATTACCTCTAAGGAGGCTTTGTAGCAAAAGCCCCAAATTGCTTTTCTGCTTTATTCCCCACTCTCCGGTTTAGCTCAGCTCTGTTGTCTAAAATAGGTAATTAGCCTGGCCGGTGTGGTTCAATGGTTGAGCATTGACAAATGAACCAAGACGTCATGGTTTGATTTCTGGTCTGGGCACCTGCTGGGGGGTTGCAGGTTCCATCCCTGGTAGGGGGTGTGCAGGAGACAGCCAATCAATGATTCTTGTCATTGATGTTTCTATTTCTCTCTCCCTCTCCCTTCCTTCTGAAATCAAGAAAAATCAGTCAATCAATCGGCAATTAGAGGTTGCAATGTGACTAAATGACAACACAAAGATAATCCAAACATAATGACCAGATGAGAAAGATGTCCCAAAAAAATTAATACAGTCTCCTATCTCATTTTAAAGATCCCTTGGAGAAAATAAAGTAAAAGAAAAAGGAAAACTGAACCTCTTTACCCTCAGGAGTCATTCAAAGCACCAAATTCTTAGGTTAATATAATTCTTTCCAATTTTCTTGCTTATCTCAGTCAGGAGGGTCTCATCTGTGTGTGTGTGTGTGTGTGTGTGTGTGTGTGTGTGTGTGTGTGTGTGTGTTGGAGGGGGTGTGAGGGCGGGGGGCAGGGGGAAGGTCACATTTCCTTGGGCGGACAGTCCAGGCTGCTCTCCAGCAGTGGGAGGGAGGTCTATCAGAGCTTCTCAGTTTTTCTTTCCCCACCATCGGTGAAAGGGCCCAAGAGTAAACCCATTGGATCACAGCCTCACCCCTCCATTCACAGTGTTTAAACAGGCTAACCCTCAATTGCTAAAGCAGGGACACCAAGCATCACGTTGTCCCAGACTCCACTCTTACAGCGGACACTCCTCTGTACCTGGGAGAAGACGGTGGTGGTGACACTGTATTGATTGCAGCTGCAGCAA